AAGGATAAAAAAGGACCAAAATACAGGTTTAGGAGATGTGGTCACTTCCCAATCATGTCCCACACATCTCCAAGTCATTTACCAAGCCAGGGGTTGCAAAACTTCCAATATCATCAGTCCCGAAATCAGCAATTGACTTTGATGAAGAGTTGATCAGAATGCCCCAAAATCTATTTGATGAGGTCGATATTGTTGAAATTGAGGAAGATTCTAGCAATGAAGATGTGCAGTTTTTGGGCCGAATGTGGAGCTTAGCAACTGGGAAGATACTCCTCTCCCCACCCGAGAGGAGTTTTGGTAGTTTGCTTTATTTTTCTTTCTGTTATCTATATTATTCAAGGGTTGTAACCTAGATTTCACTTCTGCTTGTTTTGATGGTCGAACCCTTTCTATCCTTCTATTTTCAGCGAAACGCAATTTTTCTTCTTTTATTGTTGATATTCCTAATAATTGTTTAAATTTGTTGGTTCTAATGACATAAAATGCATAAGGAATTTTTAGCCAGATCTTAAAAGCTAGTCTAACTTTGAAATAATGATCCAAGAAGTCGAATGTGATGAAGAGGCAGCATTTGAGAGAAAAGAGGTTGAGATCTCGTCCCTCCGAATTGTTATAGAAGTTGAAATTGGTAGCGATGAGTGGGTGGGAAAAGATTGGAAGCAAAATGTCATGATCAATTTTATCAAGAGAAAATGGCTAGAGGGTACAACAAAAGGTGCATCCCAGGAAGTTGAACCGGGCTAACTAGTATTGAAGCGCACCCGTCCACATCAAGCTGAAGCTAAAACCAAGTTCCCCTCCAACTGGCAAGGCCAGCCCTTTGTGGAATATATATTGCCCAATGATGCTCAATACTTTATAGACACAGAGGGCAAAGTTACGGATATGGCCATTGATGTTGATGTCGTTAAGAGATACTATGTATGACCTCTTTGCCTTATCTTCAATTACATGTCTTGTACTCGACATTTTCAAAGTTTGGTATGACGAAGGTGTTTTATTCAGCTACCCAAAAACTTTTATCCTTTGCTATCTCTTTTGAGACTTAATTTAATTTCTTTTATACCCCTCTTTTGGAATAAGGAAATAGAGTTAGAAAACAGAAAAAAATAAAAAGAAAAACAAATGAAGAAAAAAAAGAATAAAGGAAGATAAAAAAGAAGAAAAAGAAAAGAAAGAAAAAAAAGCAACAAATTTTAGTTTGGAACTGCGCTTGACCTGATTCCTTTAAAGGATACATAGGCAACCTTACTCTAAGGTTCGGTCCCATCAAAATAAAAATCTGAAATTCCCAAAACTCAAAGAAACTGAGGCAGAAGTTTTAGTTTTGCAAAAGATCTGATTCTAAAAGTTGTAATTTTGAACCCTTCCATCGTGAGTTGTTTTGAGACTTCATGCCACCTTTTCCTTCTAACCCTGTCCAAAAGCCTACACTATAGTCCAAAGAAAGACCTTTCGACCAATCTTTGAGGATGCCAAGTCAAGCGATATAGAGATGTGATTTACATCATGGGTAATACTTTGTTCATGGACACAAAAGAATTTTTTTTAAAATGAATAAAATGAGGGAGTCATTGGTGATAACCGTCACGGACACCATAAGGCGATGGTGAGCTGAGAGAAAATTTATAATGAGAGAGTCTTATTGGTGAGGACCCTCATGGGCACTGTAAGGCGACAGTGAGTTGAGAGATAAATAAATGAGAGAGGCTTGTCGGTGAAAATCCTTCGGACACTACAAGTCGAACGAGGTTCATGACTTTACAAAGAGATTGGATCATTGAAAGCCCAGTTTTGAAGTATGAAGACATGACATGAACTGAATATGTGATTGGTTGGACGAATTAGGTTGATCAATCTGAAATGCATGTCATGATCATTGGAGTCAACTGTTTCACTCAGATAAGTCTCTTTTCCATTCTTCATCAAATAATCATCTTTGTTCGAAATTTTCCTTTTATTTCCTAATTCTTAAAGTCATTTCGCTTTGTTTCTTTTGGGTCTATTTCTCTGAGTCTCTTTCAAATTAGTGTTTGTTAAACATGCAAGAAAGGACTTCAAAGTCTGCTATCGGCTTCTTGATTGCACAAAGCAAAGTTCGGCAAAGCACATCACAAATGACATGATTCGGAAGGAGCAATGTGGTGATAGATGAAGTTCAGGGGGATTATGTGATTCTTGAATTTTTTAGGAAGTGCAAAGGTTCAATAGTTGCCAGAATAAAAATGCAACACAACAAGTGAGTGTAAAGGATTCGGGTCATTTAGAGGTTTTTGTTGTCAAGGTTCGATCAAGAGGTCAAATAATTCATTGTTAGCCCGAAGCAGCTAATCAAAATAAAACATGGCAATGGTAGAAGCGGACACCTTCAGCAACAATGCCACAAACTAATCACCACATTTTCAAACTCACAAAATTTCCTTTGATTGAAATAAGGGCAGGAAAATTTGGTAATTCGTGTGGATCCTCCATGAGGAAAGCATGGTTCAAGGGCAAGAAATCTTTGTTCACTCTGCAGGGATCCACCATAAGAGAAGCATAGTTCAGGTAAGTTCGTTGTCGACTTTTCAGGACCCTCCTAGATAATGGGATTTAGTTTTAAGTTTTTAGGACCTTCCTAGATAATGAGATTTAGTTTTATGCTTTTACCTTTAGAAAGTGAAATTCTGCTTTTAAGTTTTCACTCTTAAAAATGAGATTTAATTTTAGTCTTCACGACCCTCATGGATAATGAAATTTAGCTTTTAAATTCTTAGAAATCTTTTAGATAACTGGATTCAACTAACACTCACAAACGTTCCTAGTATAAACTGAGGCAGGACATTTTCTTTGTTTTGTTATGTTTATAGGCACCCACCTAGGGAACGAGGGTATTTATTTCAAGAGTTTTAGATTCAGTTTTAGTAGCAGGCGCCCACTTGGAGAATGATGGAATTAATTTCAAGCTTCACGTTTGTAGCAAGCGCCCACCTGGAGAATGAGGGAATTCATTTTAAGTTTCAAGTCAGTAGCAGGAACCCACCTAGAGAACGAGGGTATTTGTTTCAAGAGTTTTAAGATTCAGTTTTAGTAGCAGGCGCCCACCTGAAGAATGAGGGAATTCATTTCAAGTTTCAAGTCAGTATCAGGAGCCCACCTGGAGAATGAGGGTATTTATTTCAAGAGCTTCAAGATTCAGTTTTAGTAGCAGGCGCCCACCTGAAGAATTAGGGAATTCATTTCAAGTTTCATGTTAATAGTAGGCACCCACCTGGAGAATGAGGGAATACATTTCAAGTTTCATGTTAGTAACAGGCACCTACCTGGAGAACGAGGGTTATTCTTTCAAAGATGAATTCAAGTTCGGATAAGAACGTCAGTCGCCCACCTGGAGAATGAGGGTATTTACTTCAGAAATTGATTTCAAACTCAAGTCTACTTTAAGTTCAAGTTCAAGTTCATTTCAAATCCAAACATCAGGAGCCCCTGAAGAATAGGGTCAACTTTCAAGCTTCAATTCAAGCTCGAAGCAGCGGAAACTTGACTTGAGAATGCATCTCGACAATTCAAGATGCATAACAAGATCGAAAAAGATTCAAGATAGAACAGTAGATAGGATTTTGTCATTTTTCTTGTAATTTTTATTTGATTTTTCATTTTTGATGTAATGACAGGAACCGCGAACCGAAACCTCGACGGCATTTCACTCGACTCTCCACCTCGGTATCCTTCTCCATTTTCCTTATCTCTGAACTATACGTGGCCTGATTCCTTTATAGCCAAGGATATGTAGGCAGCTCAGATACCAGGGCTCGGTCACAATATTTTGCCCCTCTTAGTTTTGTTTTGAATAAATGTCGGGTCAGAAATCAATTACGTTGCTTACTTGATTCTTTTCTCAAAAACACTTCATGTTTCCAAGCAAAGAGAGGCAGTTGTAAGCATGTAATTTTGACTCGCCACGTCTTCAAGCTATATTAGTATTCTTAGCATTTTCAAACATTTATTTGAGTTATTTTAATAGGATTTAGCCTATTCTTCACTTTTATTTTTATTATAAAACATAAAATTGAAAACACAAAAAAAGTTTTATTTTATTTTACTATTTTTCTCATTTATTTAAGGTCGTTAGTATTTTAGTAGTAATATTATTACTTTGCGATGGTTCTAGCCTAAATTTCTCTACTTTTATTTCAATATAATCTCCAGATAATACCAAAAATAATTTCATCTTTTAATATAGTTTAGTTTAATTAATTAGAATTGGTTTTTGCATTGTGTAGTATTTTTATCTTATATTAAAGGGAGTTAACTAAGATTTTGGACTACAATTTTAAGAGTCTTGGAGCCCAATTTTAGGACCCAATTTGGCATAATCCAGAGCTTATTCCCCTTAGCCTACACAACCCCATCAAATTTTATAACCCTAAAACACTAATTTCATAAGAAGACATTTGACCTAGATAGGAGGAAAGAAGGTCAGCCACCACCGCCACACAACCCTATCTTAGCTGCCACAGCCGCCGAATAATTCTACAGTGCCCAGCGGCCAACCTCTCCTTCCTTACCTCTCAGCCGCCCAACCAAACAAGAAAGAGAACAACCAGCAACTACCGCCAAGCACCACCCCCGCCACCAGAACTCGCTGGAATCTAGCGAAAAATAAAGAAATCAACCGCCTCATCCTACCACCTTCACCAAATCAAAAATAAAAGGACATCACAGAATGACCAACAGGAGCTAACTCGCCACCGCCTCACCACGGTCGTCTCCTTCTCTTCACCTGCTATCGCCACCGCCAGCAGCTCCACTAAAGCTCACCGAAGGTCCGAAAATCGGATGTTCCCCACCTTTAGCTAAGCTCTCATCACTCCTTCTTGATTTTATTTGGAAAAAGGCAGCAACACTCATAGCCCCCTTATTTTCTTCATCATTTTCCATCTCCGTTCTTAACTTTCTTCTAAAAATTTATAGAACATATTGACAAAACCAAAACATAAATAAGAACAAAATATACCTACCGGAAAATTGTCTTTTCCTTCCTTCTCTTGTTTACTGCTTAATTCCATAAGAGCAAAGAGGAGAGTTCTCAATCCACAGCTGTAGCTGGCTCCATTTTAATTTACATAGTGAACGGTTCAAATCAGTAGTCTCCTGGATTTCACGTTTCTTCGCTCGCATAGGCAAAATTGAGTCTGTTTTCGGTGCAGATTCGAGATTCTGTCTGGGTTTGTATTTGAGAGTCATGTCGATTTGAGTTTCAATCGTAACTGTGTTTGGTTCCCGTCCGTGTAATTGTTAGATGTCTTTATCAATTGAAAATTACAGTCTTTAGGTTCAACTCTTTTTCTCTTACTTTTATTTAATGGTGTTGATTTCTTGTTTAGAATATTTAGATACTAGTAATGAATTTTGAAGTTGGTTTCCAATCTTGAATATTCTGTACTGTTTAATTTCCTCCATGCTTTTGACTTAACATGTGAATCCATATCTTTGTTGGGATTTTGCGCTTCAGAAAATGCAAGGGCTTAGTGTCAGATAACATTAAACTATTCAAGTAACGTGCTAAATTTATCTATGTTCATCACTGCCTGCGTATTTTGTTGAATGAACGTGGGTCACGGGAGTAGGAAGAGGATAAATCCCATTAGTAATTAATTTGCTTTCATGTTATATGATTCGGTCTTAGGAAAATACCTAAAATGAAAAGTTAAAATATTGGCATGAATTAAATTTTCTTTTATTTAGTTTCCTTTCATTTACTTTACTTTATTGTAGTATTCGCTAGTAGCATGTTTAGACCGACCACACCTGGGTAGGCAATATTAGGTCATTTATGCATCTCTATTTCAAGGTGAGAGGTTGTACTCTTTAGTTTATATTCAGGAGAACGCCCTGTGGATTTTGTATATATTTTATCTGGGGTATGCCCCAAAGTAAATGTATTTGGAGCCCGAGATGAGCACTGTGGAGGAAGTATACCTAGGTTACCTTAGGATTTTTATTTTCTTTTATTATTTTTACTTTATTAGGTGGGGACAACCTCCCACCTCTTCTATGTTTATCTTTGCTTTTTGTGTGTTTCTACTTCAATTTGAATACTTTAAAAACCAACTAGATCGAGTACGCAACCGTGACTTTCATGGGACTCGGAGAATGCCTAACACCTTCTCCTCGAGTCAATTGAACACCCTTATCTTGAACTCTGGTTCAAACTAGTTTTTGGAGTCAAAATATGTTTTGATAGAAAAGTTATTTTTAAACGGTGACCTGGCACACTGAAATCAAATATCAGGTGGTGACTCTGAAAAATCCTTCGAAACACAATCTTTTGTCACTTTTCAAATTGAATCCCTTTTAAGCTTTAAAATGACTTTTTAAATTTTTTAAGGGGTACTTAAGAGTGAACAAAGGAGTGTGACAGATGGCCCATGATAGCCTTTTGTTGTTCTCTCAGGATCTTCATCGTCTACGCAACGTGCTCGTCTTCAGTGTCATCAGGAGTCGCTTCCCGTATGTGTAGGGGATAGCACCCACCATGAACCGGCATGGCTACGTCCTCCTCGTTACGGGTGTCGCTGATTGAATCCTTGTGTTGAGGCAGATTCTCCTGTGCCTCAATGTTGTGTGCAATGTTTACATTGTTATCTATCATCTTTTATAGAAACAAAGAATCAAACAAATTAGTAATAGACGCAATGATCAACTCAATTACCCAACTGTCGAAGCCCCACAGTGGGTGCCAAACCATTTATCCGTAAAACGATATAGTTGAATTTATAGCGTGGTTTATAGACAAGCGAATCTATTTGATCCTAAAATGATAAATAAATTAAATAAAATATAAGACTTAGCGTTGAAATCGAGATAAGATAGCAGACAGCTTGGTTCCGGGAGCAACACTGCTGAAGACAGCAATAAGAATATTGATAGACAGAAAATAAAGTATTATTTTGCTTGAAATAATATGAAGCATAAGTTTATCAGAAATTTCGTATCCTACAATGGCTGTTGAAGTCACTATTTATAGCTATACTTAGGGAACAAGGTCCTAGGGTCAAGTCCCTCTTAAATGACAATAATTGGGGCCATTGATGAATATATGACGACATGATATGAATGCTAAAATTTACTGTAACGGATTGTGTATTTTAATACTGAGGAATATTCTTCATTGAATGTCATCTGGCGGCAAATATTCGTTTTCCCTCATTGACAATGTTCCCTTCGGGGTCTACCCGGTGCCAACCGAAGCTATTGTCCTCGGTCTTGTTTTCCACTCTTTTCGTCTTCCGTCTGTCTCTGGTTACACGTGTCATTCTATCATTCAAGTATTTACTGTGAACTGATTTTACCCTATATAGTACTCTCATAATAATACACGTTTTACATAATTTTTATTTTTTTGAAATGGTTTTAGTGTCCGGATGCTTAAAATTTAAGTTTTTGCTGGGTGATCTTTTCTTCTTTTCAACTTCCTTTCGCCATGAGCCACATCTATGACCTTGATCTCATTGTTGGTTTGATAATTGTGGTACAATTTAACATGTTATTCAATGAACTTTAATTTAAGTAATATTAAGTAGTTTATATTAATACAGTACCGGAGGCAAATCTAGAATTTAAGTTTTATGAGTTCTATCTTGGACGTTCTTAGTATTCAATTTATTATATTTTTAAGATGAGTTTATATCTACTAATTATATCGAAAGCAATGAGTTCACATGAACTCATGCTAATATGGCGGATCTACATGAGAAGTTATGAGTGCTCAAGCATCCATTGTCTTTACCTAGATTTACATAGGCAATTAGTGAATTATTGTAGATAAGTACTGAGTGAACACCCATAGCTAAGTTCTTCTAGCGTCTTCTTTCGCAACTCTTTCTGTCAAGTACGCATAACTTTAAAATCTTGAATCCTCTACTATTTAGAATTGTTCCTTGGTTTGCAACATGATTTCTAACGACAGCATTTGGATTGGCAATGACATACTACATCAGTTTAAAAAAAAATGAACCTATTACTATTTGTGGATCAAACAAAGTTTTCTTTGATCATAATTTTTGTAAATAATTTTTAAATATTTTAAATTATTAATTATTGTGACTCATAGTACATTTTATATAATTTTTAAATTCATATAAAAATTTAATAAATATAACCCTTTTACTCCAAAAAGATTTAAACAACTTGAAATAAAGGGAGTATATAAATATAATTTTAAAGCAAAAATAAATATAAATGAAAAAGACAAATTGAAAGAAAAAGATAAAACGAAAATTTTGCGGAGGAGGGGGTGGACGTTGGTAAAAATGGCAGGAATCAAACTTCAACTCGAAGTAAACTCCAAAGTCAAAACCCAATACTACAAATAATACTCGTTGTCTTCTCCATTATCAAAACCTGACGAGAAGAAGAAATCCCATGATATCCTTGCTGAAAATATTTTGCTCAATGATGAAGAATTAGAGAAGGGGAAAAGAGTCTCAGACACAAGCCCTAGAAATTTTGGTCTATACGATGTAAATGATCTCACATGTGGTCTTTAGTGTCTTTTAATTTCAGCCTTAGAGAGTGACACGTGTGAGCATCACTGGCCCTTAGAATTTTGATCAAGAACCATTCATGTAAATAGCAAATACGTTAGGAAGTTCCTCACTACACCTAATTTGCACATGATAGATAATAAAGGAATAAAGTTAGTTAGGCATAGGGACTGATAATTGTACAGGTGGCTAGTATAGGTTAATTTTTGGTATTTGTTCTTTACGTCATTTACATGTATAAATATAGGCTATACTGAAAAGTAAAATATACAAATAAAATTTTTGCATCTTCATTCTTTCATTCCTTCATGGTATCAGAGAAGATCTCTGCTCGATCCTTGAACTTCTTCGTCTAATTTTCCTCCTTCTTTTTGCTCAACTTCATCTATTATCATGACTGGAACAGATCCTTCACCCACTCTTTCTCTTTCTTGTTCAACCAGTCAAGCTATGAATTATGATGTGAATCACCCTTATTTTCTTCACTCTTCAGATGCACGTGGAATGACTCTTGTCACCTCACCCTTTGATGGAAGAGGATTCCCAGGCTTGAGAAGATCAATCCTAATTGCATTATCAGCCAAAAATAAGTTGGGGTTCATCAATGGGGTTTGTGATCAACCTGCCCTGGATTTAAAGGATCATGCACAATGGAGTAGGTGCAATGACATGGTAACCTCGTGGATCTTAAACTCTCTAACTAAAGAGGTAGGAGACAGTGTGATTTATTCCAAATTTGCAAAGGAACTTTGGAATAGTCTTGAGCATAGATTTGGACAATCCAATTGAGCTAAGCTCTATCACCTACAAAAGGAAATTGCTAAGACAGTTCAGGGGAACAGCAGTATTGCAGGATATTTTACAACTCTGAAAAGGTTATGGGATGAGTTAGATTCCCTAAACTCATATCTAGATTGCATTTATACTTGTCTGTGTAAAGGGAAGAAGAAGGTAGCAAGTTCCTAGAGGATCAGAGAGTCATTCAGTTTCTCATGGATTTGAATGATGTGTATGCACATGCAAGAGGAAACATCCTTATGATGAGCCCACTCCTAAGCATGGATCATTCCTACTCTTTCCTTCTGCAAGATGAAAGTCAAAGGGAAATATATGTTAGCCTACAATATCCATCAGATGGTGCATCCTTCATGGTAGGATCTCGAGGGATGTTCAATCAAAGGAATAACATTCAGAAATCATGGGGAACTTCTCAGAAATAGGGGAACAATCAGAACATACAACAAAAATTCAGAAAGAAGACAAAGTATAATCCCAATGTGAGTTGTAGTCATTGTATGAGAACAGGGCATGTGAGAGTAGATTGCTACAGACTAATAGTATTTCTTGATGATTTTCAATTCACAAAATCAACTAATTATCAGCCTGCAATAAAGGGAAATGCAGTGGTGGTAGGACAGGATAGTGAAGAGAAGTCCAACACTTGCAGTGAAGGAAACATGAGCAATCAGAACCAATATTTTAGTAAGGAGCAAGTGTCAGAATTGGTAAACATAATCAAGCAAGTGCAGATTGGGAGTGTAGGAACCACAACATCAGAAATCAATGCTAATGTTGTAGCTGGAACCATACTCAAATACACAGGAACTTGTCTTGCTATTTTTAACACTAAAACATGGATTATTGACTCAGGGCCTCTGAAAACATGTGTTTTGATGCTAGTTCTTTCTTAACTCTTACCCCTCTACCTACACCTTTACCTATTACTTTACGTAATTCATTTCAGTTATGTGTTACACACATAGGTAGTGTATCCATTCAGCCTGATA